ATGGAAGGACGTCGAATGCAGGAAGATCACAGGCCAGTGGGTGGAGTCTTGTGGATGCAGTGGCGGTGGAAACAACTCAACACTGGCGTGGACCTCCTCTACGTAACTCCTCCAGCTCCAGGGCTCTGCTTCCATCCGTGGTCTCCATGTGGCTGGTCAGCAGGAAGACAAGCAGAGTGTGTGAGCTATTTATCTCCTTGGCGCCTCCAAATGAGCTCATCAAGCTGCGACCTGATTGACAGGCTAGACTCCACCCCTGCGCAAGTTGACACCAGATTATGTGGCTACCGCAAAGGTGGCTTAACTATGGAAGTGTCTGGCGTGAATGCTGTATCAAGAAAACTCCTAAAAAGAAAAACAAAACAAACTTGTACCCGAGATTCCCATGGGTTAAGGAGTCAGAGTTTTTGATTAGGGGACATTGAGTTTATGTTCATGGAAAAGGGATATCAATCGTGGTCGTACCCACACAAAGAGTCTAATCAGTGGCGCTGAATTAGACACGGAGAGGTAGTTGAATTGGAGAATGTTTTGTTGGCTCTATTTTTTGTTGCCACAATGAAAAAATAATAATCAGGTGGGAATAAAAAGAAAAAAAATAATCATCATCATGACACCACTAACAAGGCGTCCGAGGCAGAAGAGAATGTTGTCGAGTTGCATGCGGTGATCAGGGTACAGCTCTGCTTGACAGGGTGCAGTGATGGAATCGTGTGACCTCTGCAGGAGGAGCCCTTAAAACTGTTCTGAAACAGAAATGTGTGGGTAGACCTTGAGAAAGAATGAATGGGCAGGAAGAAGGAAGGAAGAAAAGGGGAGGGTGATGAAGAAGGCAGGAAGGAGGGAAAGAGAGAGAACAAACCTTCATGGAAGTTTTGTTTTACTTTTGAAGGAGGGGAAATCGAAAGAGAGATGGGGAGAGAGATTTAGAGAGAGTAAACTAAACGAGTGGAGAGAGAGGCAGAGAGACAGGCACACACACCAACGTAGAGACTGAGAGAAACACATCGAAAAAGCTTCAAGACAGAGACAGACAGACAGATATGGTGGGACTGTATGACCTAACCCATGTCCTGGGAGAGAGGGATGGGAGGAGAGCCCTCCAGAGATGGGCAGACTTGGAGGGGGACAGGGACCAGACTCCTGACACTTCTAAGCAGAAGCAAAGGGACTGGACGGTCAGAGGGCTGCAACAAGGGCGAAAAGGAAGGGACAATGGGAAGCTATTGACGTGGCCGCCTGCCTGGAAGGAAGAGAGGTTGAGAAATGGGGCTGCTGGGTGCATGGCACTGGGATGCTGGGGCGGACAAAGACCAATTGTTGTGGGGGCCCTTTCCCCACAGTGCCTCATCTGCACCCCAGCCCAGGGCAGGGGCGGGGCCAGCATGGTGACACACACTTTCTCATGCATAATCTCTCTCTCAGACTTGGAGGTCGGTTGTTGTCACCCACAGAGGGATTTACCAGCAGGTTGGTGATTCAGCCCTGACCCAACTGAACCTAGGTGTGAGACCCACAGGTCACTGACTGATCAAGGATATGGGGAGGGAGCTGCCCATTCGCTTGCCTGGGGTGCCAATCTTTGGGTCTCCAGACTCTTCGGTTAAGGAGGCCCTAAAAGTCTGGGGATTCAGGAGAACAAGCCCTCACCCCCTCCCTCTCAGATCCAGGAGTCCCAACTATAAGTCCTTTCTAACTTGGAAGGCCTGGGATCTGAATTTCCTAACCCTTTCTAGCTTCACACATAGAATTCAAAGCCCTTATGCCACTCCACGCAAACGAAGAAGTCAGGGCCTCCCTCAACCCAGGAGTGTGGGCCCCCAACCTCTCCTCCCTCAACCCCAGGAGTCTGGGCTCTTAGTCCCCTCTTCCCTCCGACCCAGAAATCTGGGTCCCCATGGGTCGCTTGGTTGCCTCCCTCCACCCTGAGAGCCAGGAACCTGAGCCCCCACCCCCACACCTTTTCGCCTCAGACCTACAAGTTCAACCCTTGAGATCATTTCTTCCCCAGACCCAGGATTCTAGGCCCCCAGCCTTTCTTTCCTCCAAACCGAGGGCCAGAGCTCAGCACTCAGGGACCTACGTTCCCCTCCCTAGAGGCTCGGGTCAGAGGGTCATCAGAGCCATGGGGGTGGTAGGAATGTGTGTGGGAAGTCTGGGTTAGGAGGAGAAGGGTGGGGCCAGCCTGCCGGCCTCAGGGACCTGGAGGGACAGGGGTTAAAAGCGGTAGGAGCTTCTGGGAACAGGACCAACCTCTTCTAGGGAGCAGTCCCGCATCAGGGAGCTGCCCGCACAGCGCTGGCCCTGCAGACCCTCCGCCTCTGCTCTCAGCTGCTCCACCTGCCTCTGAGTGCCGCCTTCCAAGTCCCCTGTCCTCCCTGCAAACTCTCTTTGGCTTCCTGTAGGCATCTAGCTCCCAGCAGGTAAGATGGGGAGGGCTCCACTCCCCGGCTCACCCCACATCCCCCAGAAACCCACAGGTGTAGGAGTGGGAGGCCAGGTGCAGGGGGGAAATGGGGAGAGGGGAGAAAGCTAAGAGGACTCCATAGGAGAACCTTCTCCTGTTGCTTCAAGGCAAACTGGAGCAGAGAGACGTGGGGTGATGGGGTCCAAACCACGGTGTGAGTTCATTCCGGTGGTTGCAAATTTTCTCTCTCATGTCTGCCTTCTTGGACCCTCTAGAGTCTGGGAAGACATGGGGTGGGGAAAGGAGACACCAGAAAGGCATGCATCCAGAATCAAGGCATCAGAGTTGGTTCAGGGAGGAAGAAGAGGATGAGGATGAAGAAGAGGGAGGGGTCCTGGGTGGAATCTGAGGCGCTGAGAAATGGAACCTCTGGCTTTCCTCTTCAGGAATGGTAATGAAGACACTGATTCTAACGCTGGTTCTGGTCGCAGCAGGTAGGAAGGAAAGGAAGGGGAATGGGGGTGGGATGGAGTGGGACATTTGGGAGGTGGGATTGGGATTGCTGTTGGGAAGAGGAGGATGCAGATGGGGAACCAGGCAGGAGATTGGTTTGAAGACGGAGAAGCATTTGAGCGTGAGGTTGGCTTTGGGATGGGGCTGTCGTTGGGAAAGGGGGAGGAGGGTGGGCTATGGGACAGGACTATAATAGAGGGAGAGGGGAGAGGAAAGCAGAAGATGAGCATGGGTTTGTGGATTCAATTGGCTTTAGGGGTGGAGCTATCGATAGAAAAGGGAGGAATGTTGAAAATGGGGAAGCGCGTGTGGATGAGGTTGGGTTAAGGATGGGGGTATAAGTGGAGAAGGGGTGGTTTGAAGATCCCAGTTTATAGATAGTGTTGTTTGGGGGGGGCGGTATACAGATGGGGAAGGGGCCCTGGTGGGGTAGTAGTTCCAAGTTGGCTTCAATCCATATGGTCGGCAGTTTGAAACCACCGGTAGCTCCACGGGAGAAAGACCAGGTTTCTACTCCTGTCTACAGTTACCATTTCACAAACCCCAAAGGGGTGTCACTGTGAGTCTGCATTGACTCAATGGCAGCAAGTGAGATGGAGACGGGGAAGGGGAGGTGAATTTGAAGACGGGGAAGAGTGTGAGGATGCGGTCAGGGGTTAGGGGTTAGGGGTCAGGGGTTAGGGGTTAGGGATAGAGATGGGAATGAAGATGAAGGGGCTGTTTCTAATATAGAGAAGAGTTTAACGATGGGATTGGCTTTGGAAGTAAGGAGATGGGGGAGAAGGGGATAAAATGGGTCTGGAGGTGACTGAAGTTGGGTTTGGAGATGGGAACAGGGCTCTATTTTCAGGCAAAGATGGACATGATCTTTGCCATCCAGATGTGGTTGGGGTTCACCTCCGGGTCTCCAGACGTCCTCTCTGATTCAGATTTGCTCTCGCTCAGCTGGGGCAGAGGAGAAGAATAAGTTGGTGCAAGGGACATCTTGTGACAAGAGCTCCCACCCCTACCAAGCGGCCCTCTACCACTCGGGCCAGTTGTTCTGTGGAGGGGTCCTCATTCACCCAGAGTGGGTGCTCACCGCTGCTCACTGCAAGAAACCGTGAGTCTACGCTGCGCGTGGGGGAGTGGTCACGACTAGGCTCATGGGATCCCTTGGAGACTTCGGCAGGAGGTGCCATCCGCACCGACGACCTCATTTATTTGGTCACTATTTAATCGAGGATGTAACATGCTTACTAGGAGCCCCCGTGGCGTACTGGGTTATGCGTTGGTCTACTAACCACAAGGCCAGCTGTTTGAGACCACCTGTCGCTCTTCAGGGGAAAGACAGGGCTTTCTACTCCCATAAAGAGTTACAGACTTGGAAACCCACGGCGGGAGGGGGGCCCAGTTCTACAGGGTCGCTGTGAGTCGGCATCGACTTGATAGTGGTGACTTATTTTGTTTTTTAAATAATTTTCTTGGGGGCTCGTACAACTCTTATCACAATCCATCCATCCATCCATTGTGTCAAGCACAGTTGTACATTGGCTGCCCTCATCATTCTCAAAACATTTGCTTTCCACTTGAGCCCTTGGTAGCAGCTCCGCATATTTTCCCCTCCCTCCCCGACCCTCTCTCCCTCAGAAACCCTTGATCATTTATAAATTATCATTATTTTTCCATGTCTTACACTGTCTGATGTCTCCCTTCACCCA